AAACGTTGCAGCCAGTCGGAGACGCTGCCAGGGGGAGAAAAGTGAGGGCAATTCCATGTGTGGCAGTGGCTCCGGAAAAGAGTATTTTCAATTTGCAGAATTTACCGCAAGTGGTGGTGCCCCAAAGTGATCACACACGGCCTGGAATCCCTGACAGCACTCCTGCCGCCATTCCGTCTCTTGAGTTTGTTGGAAACTGAAAAAATGATTTGGAAAACCACACCAAGAGAGTGGGAGGAAAGGTGTGTTTCTTGCTGGCCTTCCTTGAGCGCCAGCCGCGTGTTTGTGGCTGCATCAAGGTCCGGGGGATGTGCTTGGCTGATGATGGGGGTGAGAAACGGTTCACTGCTTCTCTGTCTTTTAGGTGCGCTCACTCCCATTCTGGGTGTCAAGCAGCAGCTGAGCGTTGCCGCCACGCCGAACACAGGAGGGAGCCGCTTAGGCCATGCGGCTGTCTTTGAGAAAATCAGTACACTGAATGTGGAACATCACACTCAGCCGTCTAGCTAGCTACACTGAAAAAAAGATAGTGTGCGTTCAATTGACTCCATTTGATTTTGTCAAGTGGTTGCACGATAGAAAACCAACTGGATCCAGATACATTTAAGTCGACCCGACATCTACTTTAAAATGTATCCAAATTCAGATGATTCTCTTGTGCGCAGCCACTTGATGAAATAAAATGGAGTCAATTCAATGCACCATTTTTTTCTTCCACCACAGGGATTTGAGGACAGGTGTGATGTGGCCCAGTTTCCTGGTGTTTGTCAAGACTCTGGCGGCAGCATTTTGGATCAGCTGGAGCTGCCTGATTGATTTTTTTTTTTTAAGACCCGTAAAAATTTATGTGTGTGTGTGTGTGTGTGTGTGTGTGTGTGTGTGTGTGTGTGTGTGTGTGTGCGTGTGTTCATGTGCGCGTGTGTCCTTTTATTCCAGTAAATATAGCTCATTTCATTTTCACACAAGATCTTTCTAGGATTGCATCATGGCACAGCGGTCGTGCTTAGGGTGTACTCGATAACGCGTCAAGCCCGTGAAAGCGTAAAGCCAAAGCCGGAAATGAAGTCGTGAAAAGCGACGCTAACCATGTGCCTTTGGTGAGTTTTCCCAGGTTGTTAATATTTGAGCTTCTTCTTGGGAGCAGGGGAGAAATTAGTTTTTAAAAAATTTCGATTTGAGATGCATCACGGCCGTTGGAATCAGAACTCGCTGGGCCAGTGATGACGCGTACGACACAATGAGTGTCAAACAATTAGTTCTTGGCTTTTTTCTTTTCATCGAGCTTTCTGCCGAAGCCGAAGGTGTGAAACGCCGACATTCAAGCATGCCTTTATTTGCGAATGACTCGAGTTATTTTTCTGTCACTCCCTGGATTATGTGAAGTGGGCCGCTGCGCAGGTCTTCAGTCGGAGTAAATTAGGAGGCATCGGCGCACGACTGAGTGCGAATCCTCATTCCGAGGCAAAGCAGCTGTACGCTGCATCCCTCGATGGTGGAGGCCTGCCTTCTACCCTTTTTTTACGGAAGGATTGAATCGAGATGGCTGCGTCCTTTGAAAAGACAAGAAGGACTCATTCAATAATGCTTGGAACCACTTGCGATTTGAACAGAGGCCGGATACAGAATCTCAACATTTGTATTAACTTGCATGCAGTCGGAATGCAGTTCGGCCCACCCATAAAACAGAAACACCGTCCTTTTCCAACACCATGATTCGATTCCTTTGCAACAAAGCTGCCCTCAAGGGTCCGGAAGATGTCGGCGACCAATAACAACAAGCCCGACTAATCAACTTTCATCTCATTTACCGCCAGACGCATTTCCGCCAATGACTCCAATAAAGTGTGCAAAGGCGAATGTGTAACGTGTCGCTGCATTCTGCACTGCAATTTTGTGCTTGTCAATATATTGGAAAGCCCCCGCCCCACCCCCAAAAAATAATCATAAATTCTAAAACCACCAATTGATTCATGTGTCAAAACCCAAACTGACTGAGAGAAAACATAAGTTGTATTGTTTAATTTTCCCTTTTGCAATCCCCCCTGCCCCCCACCCGCCATCAAATGTGCTCAAAGGTAGTTCTTCATGAGCGTATAATTTGGCAAGGCACTCTATATTTATTTGGCTTGTTGGACAAATACAGCAACATAAAATAATAATAATAATAATAAGACTCCCCAAAATCCAATGACTCCAAACGGGAACTGTTAAATAATGTTATCTTTTTTAATGCTAAAATGTAACTATTATAGTTATCCTTGAATTTCCAAAAAAAAAAAAAAAAAATGTAAATTTCATCAAGCATGTTTGCATTTCTTTTTTCACATGTCAAATTATATTCATTTACTTAAAATAAAACGTACAGTTTGAATATCATGTTTGATTATTTTCAGACTTCTTAGAATATGCCAGGGACAAAAAAAAAAAAAAATCTTCTCAGTTTGACATTCTTCATTCTCGTTGGAATGGTAAAATGTTGAGATTGAAATCCAAAGAGCCCGGTCGGTCTGTTTAATAAAAACAAGAGATCGAAGACCCCTTTCTCAGCGCTGCATTTTTCAAGCTCGCCAGGCTTTCAGCGAAGCGCCTCGCATACGTGTCGCATCGACCGAGACGGCGTGCCACTGAAAACAACAAAATAAGAAACTTGCGGCCAAAGTTATTCTGGGAGATTTTCCTGACCGCAACCTGAGGCTGTGTGAACTGATGGGTTCGGAGTCTGTGCGTTGGATCCCATAGAGAGCGGACGGCGACTTAATATTGAGCCGCTGAGGAATTCAGCATTTTTTTTTTGTCCGGTCGAATCCAGAAACCGTGTAATTCAATGCGATGGGTTTTCAGAGTAGCGAAAATGTCCAAATGCGGCAAATCCACTCTTGCTGTGACTGCATTCGCGTTGCACTATGGGAACGGTCTCCAGTCGTTGAGTTACAACGGCAAATGATCATTTGACAGTCGACGATTTTGTTGAAAAATGTGAGCGATAGTGTTTGGTGTCTATTTGAGGAATTCCCAAAATAGCTGCGGGTTAATCACCACCACCGGGTTACGTTGTAAGGATGAGGGGTCGGGTCGCTTTCTTAATCCTGAGAGGCATATCAGTTCCCACTTACTGTGATGTAGGTCAAAGCTTGAGCAAAGCCCCGTCTGTGCTACGCAGATCGCAGTTGCGGCCGGCAAGGCCTCATGCGCGCACGCAGCAGAAAACCTTGAACGACTATTTAGGTCATTGATTGCTGGGTGGGATCCGGTTGATCTGGTCTCTGCGATGGACGGCCAGTCGAAAAGAAAAAGTCCGAATGTGCAATCCAAGTCTGTAAAGTCATTCCAAACTTGAGCGAAGCATTGACGCTATTTATTTCGTCTCCATTCTATTTCTGGGCGATGCAGTGAAGCTGCGCGGACGCGCACTTTGGAATTTGCAAATTCACCCAGTTGTGGATTTATTTTGGAACCTGTCCAGCATTATTCTGTGACAGTCCCCGGGCCGACGCAAGACCGGCGTTGCTTTGGCGGCATTCGGTGGAATCTTGGTGTGAGTTGAGGAGCTTCAGTTGCGGATTTTTGTGGACATCAATGGAGTTTACTGGCACTGACGCAAACGCCAAACTCTTTGTTCAAGTGTGAAGTGGCGTTTTGCAGAGCGCCGCCATACACAGTCTGCCAGCTCCTATTAATAGTCAAATAGGGAGAGAGTAAGTATCTTTTGAGGTCATTCATTCCCTTCCCCACTTCTCTTTTAAGCCGGAGATATGAGCTTGTTAGGCGGGATGAGAAACACGCAGAGTCGAATCAAACACACCCATTAAGCAGCCGTTTCTTCTTCAGCGCCACCTGCAAATTGCATTGACGGGTTGCATCCCAGATCTTTTCTCCAAATGTTGCTTCCGGCTTGCTTTAGACTCACTTCCCATATTTGGACTCCAACATAACAACAACCCGTTTTGCAGGACCATTTTTATGTACTCATTTTTTTATTGGGGGCGGGGGGGGGGGGATGCTTGCTGTATTTCTAAACAAAATGTCATCTTTTAATCACCTCTCTAATTGCTTCCCTTCAGATTGAAACTCTTTTTCTCTCAAGGAGAGAATTCCATTGACAAGTACTTGGATGAGAGTCCCATTAGCCCTGCGCAACTAAAGATGGTGTTACCATGGAAACAAATTGTACTTCTATCAATCACGGGATGCCTTGCAGGTAAGAGATTTCAACACATTAGCGCCGAGAGACATTGCCCTCGTTGCCATAGTTTTCCATACTTCAAAACAAAAGTGATGGTTTTTCACGATGCTTTATTTTTATTTTTTTTGCTTCATTCTTTTATGTAGCGTGCACCTCCAAAGTGGATTTTCCAATTAAAAGTCTTACTTTCAAATGTTGACCTGCAATATAAAGTTGTTAATAAGTTAGAAAGCCAATTAGCGGAGCCGTAAACAACCCCGAGACGTCTCAGATGAGACAAGACTGAATGAAATGCGGTCTGCTGTCCTTCGCGTTCCCCAGAGGACCGTGCTAGCACGCATAAGCAGCAAACAGTCAGGGCCGACCAGGAGTCCAATCGCCGTTGCCGTTCATGGACTGTCGCGATCATTAACAGGAGCCACGCGATGAATCTCGCCAGTCATTTCGGCTCGATTCAACACGGGTTCTCTCTCTGCCCTTGTGGCCACGTGGGACTGGAGAGACCAGCACAGAAATAACAAGCTCTCTTCAAACGACTTGCAAAATCCATTTCGTTTACATCAGGGGTGTCCAAACCTTTTCGTTTGAGGGCCGCGCACAGACAAATGGAAGGATGAAAGGGCCCCTTTCTGAAAAATCCGTCCACATTTTTTAAACACACTAAAGTTAGTCCAGAAAGCAATTGCATCATGTTTGTCGTTTCATTCATGTCATCAGCTTTCTGTTAAAGGTGTTGAAAGGAAAATTGGTTTTGGGGGTGTCCAACAGCCCTCGATCTCACCGAGTAGATTCGGCTCTGCACTTAACAGCAGCCGAATCGCATCTCCACATTCAGAGCGCCCCAAAAAGAACAAACTGAAGTAAGGTGACCATTTTTCAAACTGTTACTTGAAGATCATGACTTTGATGTCTTCATAAATCAGCCATAGAGCACAAAGTGCCCCTAAAATTGACTTATCTTGATTCACTACAGTATTTTCAAGTATAAATTGTGTCATTCTTTTAATCATGAATGGTTTATTTGTCTCTTCGGTAAAAGAGAAAAGTTCTATGGCGCACCCTCCCTTCTCAATCTGCTCACCTCCTACTTTTTTAACGAACCTTGGAGCCCATGCCAAATGTCCTTTCTAGTATTATTTTTATTTTTATTTTTTTGGCATGACACGGGCCGCTAAAAAATGCACGGCGGGCCGCAAATGGCCCCCGGCCCGTATTTTTGGACACACCCGACTTACATGGTCTTGTGAGGTCATGTGACTGGGTTCTTCAGTCGCTCGCCTTGAAAATCACGGCAGTTGATGACGCTCGTTCTGCTAAAAATATCACTCGGTTTGTGATGTTGTGCGTCGACGCTTTTTGTTCACCAATGATGCGCCTCTCAAAGGGGCGCCTCTTGAATATCGATCAATCCTTCACTTGGAATGCAACGGAACGGAAGGGACTATTTGGTTTTCGATCAAATGCACCTGACTGAACCACGCGCGCGACGACAAGCCAAATGCTGCAGTGTGTGAGCAGTCGGCCGGCAATTAGTGCTCCTCTGGCCGCCTTGTTGGCCGTGCCTTCATGCGATAGCAGATATTGTTCCCCTCGCCTACCTTTCAAGCTCTGAAAAGATGCGCTCACCCATTCGGCCCTTCGTTATGCGCTCGCCGAGTCTGACACACATGATCCGACTCGGCTTTTCTTCTGAGGAATTTATTCTGGAGACCTCCCCCTTCAGCCGTCCTCACCCCTTCTTCGTCTTTGCTGTTGTATTATTGCGATGATTCACGGGGTGCCTGAATGCTACACTCATGGATACAACACCAGTTAAATTCTACCTAGTGTCGTGTTTTCCCATTTATGAAAGCAGTATATGACTTATTGCCAACATTTGTAATCATTTGCATTTTGAAGGCGGGTGGGGAAGGGGGGGGGGGGGGCTGCGGGGCCAAATATGTCTGCATACGCAGTTAAAGCCCAAGATAAGCGGGATGCATTTTACTCGCTGCAAGATAAGCAAATAGTAGACACACAGCACCATGGGAATAGTCCAAGTGCATTTTTCCTTAGAAATACCAACCAGGTTCAAAGAAGCTATAGGGAAAAAAAAAAAAAAAAAGAAAAGCAAACATGAAAAGTAGATGGCGTGTCAGTCATTGTTATGATGTCGTAATGGTCCTCTCAGTCTTTGTGAGTGTCACAACGTTTGGCTTTGTCGGCAGCCTTTCCAGACGATGTCAAATTTCAAGGGCCGAGATTGAGGACGGAGCCAGTTGACCTCGTTTTGCCGATCAACTCGCCCAACCAGCAGGCCACCATTATTTGTGATGCGGAAGTGAGCCCGACTCCGCAGTACAGGTAAATGACCTCATCAAATCGACGGATGGCGCCCGCAAAACCCAATCTGCTCAGTGCCGCACAATTGCACGCATGCGATTCCTCTTTAGTGCTTTTGTGATGTCATGACAGTTCCCACGAGGCGCCAGATACACGCAAAATGAGCCTTTGAGGTCATCTGGCCAAATATCAACTTTCCCAAATGATTTGGACAGTTGTGTAATCAACGCGAACCGCTTCTCATATAAGTTTAGGACGCGTGTGCGAAAACTGCAATCCTACAAAACCGCACAGTCCCTGCTTGTTCTCGAAATTTCCCCCCGAGCCCACCTGATTCAAATGATCAGCAAGCTCCGTAAGGGGATTCTGCCTAAAAAGATGGTGGTGGTGTTGTGGGTGATTGTGTTTCGTTGCTTGGTCAGCACCCCAGCGAGCTGGAGAGCGGGTGCACTCACCTTGTGAGTGACATTGCTTTCAAGACAAACAAAGGAATGCTGTGCCGAAAACAAAAACGGGGGGAGCGCCTACCTAGACCGGATCACTTTTACCACTTTTCAGATGCGCTCTCCAGCATTATGCAAGGCCGCTAGCATCCGGCAAGTTTTGTTGATCAAGAAATATCAACAGCTTCCTGTTTCCTGCTCGTCAATATCGTTTGAAAAGATGCTCCGTTAATAGAATGCATTTGCACGGCAGAAACGTTTTTTTTGTTGCCTTTATCTGATCAAATCTCGGGCCGCAAATGGCCCCCGGCCCGTATTTTTGGACACACCCGACTTACATGGTCTTGTGAGGTCATGTGACTGGGTTCTTCAGTCGCTCGCCTTGAAAATCACGGCAGTTGATGACGCTCGTTCTGCTAAAAATATCACTCGGTTTGTGATGTTGTGCGTCGACGCTTTTTGTTCACCAATGATGCGCCTCTCAAAGGGGCGCCTCTTGAATATCGATCAATCCTTCACTTGGAATGCAACGGAACGGAAGGGACTATTTGGTTTTCGATCAAATGCACCTGACTGAACCACGCGCGCGACGACAAGCCAAATGCTGCAGTGTGTGAGCAGTCGGCCGGCAATTAGTGCTCCTCTGGCCGCCTTGTTGGCCGTGCCTTCATGCGATAGCAGATATTGTTCCCCTCGCCTACCTTTCAAGCTCTGAAAAGATGCGCTCACCCATTCGGCCCTTCGTTACGCGCTCGCCGAGTCTGACACACATGATCCGACTCGGCTTTTCTTCTGAGGAATTTATTCTGGAGACCTCCCCCTTCAGCCGTCCTCACCCCTTCTTCGTCTTTGCTGTTGTATTATTGCGATGATTCACGGGGTGCCTGAATGCTACACTCATGGATACAACACCAGTTAAATTCTACCTAGTGTCGTGTTTTCCCATTTATGAAAGCAGTATATGACTTATTGCCAACATTTGTAATCATTTGCCTTTTGGGGGGGGGGGGGTGCTGCGGAGCCAAATATGTCTGCATACGCAGTTAAAGCCCAAGATAAGCGGGATGCATTTTACTCGCTGCAAGATAAGCAAATAGTAGACACACAGCACCATGGGAATAGTCCAAGTGCATTTTTCCTTAGAAATACCAACCAGGTTCAAAGAAGCTATAGGGAAAAAAAAAAAAAAAAAGAAAAGCAAACATGAAAAGTAGATGGCGTGTCAGTCATTGTTATGATGTCGTAATGGTCCTCTCAGTCTTTGTGAGTGTCACAACGTTTGGCTTTGTCGGCAGCCTTTCCAGACGATGTCAAATTTCAAGGGCCGAGATTGAGGACGGAGCCAGTTGACCTCGTTTTGCCGATCAACTCGCCCAACCAGCAGGCCACCATTATTTGTGATGCGGAAGGGAGCCCGACTCCGCAGTACAGGTAAATGACCTCATCAAATCGACGGATGGCGCCCGCAAAACCCAATCTGCTCAGTGCCGCACAATTGCACGCATGCGATTCCTCTTTAGTGCTTTTGTGATGTCATGACAGTTCCCACGAGGCGCCAGATACACGCAAAATGAGCCTTTGAGGTCATCTGGCCAAATATCAACTTTCCCAAATGATTTGGACAGTTGTGTAATCAACGCGAACCGCTTCTCATATAAGTTTAGGACGCGTGTGCGAAAACTGCAATCCTACAAAACCGCACAGTCCCTGCTTGTTCTCGAAATTTCCCCCCGAGCCCACCTGATTCAAATGATCAGCAAGCTCCGTAAGGGGATTCTGCCTAAAAAGATGGTGGTGGTGTTGTGGGTGATTGTGTTTCGTTGCTTGGTCAGCACCCCAGCGAGCTGGAGAGCGGGTGCACTCACCTTGTGAGTGACATTGCTTTCAAGACAAACAAAGGAATGCTGTGCCTAAAACAAAAACAGGGGGAGCGCCTACCTAGACCGGATCACTTTTACCACTTTTCAGATGCGCTCTCCAGCATTATGCAAGGCCGCTAGCATCCGGCAAGTTTTGTTGATCAAGAAATATCAACAGCTTCCTGTTTCCTGCTCGTCAATATCGTTTGAAAAGATGCTCCGTTAATAGAATGCATTTGCACGGCAGAAACGTTTTTTTTGTTGCCTTTATCTGATCAAATCTGTTTGCACTCTGTCATGCACAATTTAACAGCAATTTTTTTTTTTTTTTTTTAATGCCCAATAGTGTCGTTTGGTTCGATTTGACAATGTTGTGATGTCATCAGCAAACATCCTTTTAGGTTCTCATACCGCATGAAAATTTTGACTTGCTTAAAGTCCATGTAAAGTGAAATCATAGATGTGTTTCGAAATACATGATGCGTGTTTAAGGATCATTGCGGAAAACGTGCAAAGACTGAGAACTATGAAATACTGAATTGTTTTTCAGCTGACCACGTTCAAGCACGGTGGGGGGAAAAGTGGTTATTTTCTCAATAGGCTGTTTTCCAACGGGGTGGCGGAAGTGCAGAATAGCTCACTCACAGGCACATTTTCAGATCGGGGCAATGAAAAAAAGCTTTCATTGGAATGCTAAATTTCACACTTGATTTTATTTGCAGCCGTGAACGGACGACGGTATCACGATGACACGCGAATGATTGGTCACTGCTAATTGACATGTTTATACTGTTTTACATGTTCATGTTTTTACATCCTTAAATGTTCATACTGTGTCAGTTGGCGGCCATTTTATTGAAAATGTTTACAACAAACCATCGTTATAATGTTCAGAATCGTTATGTCCCTCGAGATACGTTGTAACGAGTGTTTGACTGTACAAATACTGTTTGATTGGATGTCGGGGAAGATGCAGTATTTGGACGCCGTATTCAGTCGAAAGATATCGCGTTGTGGTTTACAAGTATTAGCACTCGCGATCTAACCTCCTTCCTCAGCCATTGTCGATACCGCGAGTGTCTGGTGAGGAGTCTCTTTTGACAAATAGTCCAGTGGAGCCACGCGGCGTATTCCAGAGCTGCGAGCTGGGCGTTATGAACACACCTGTCACTGTGTTTACCATGAATCGGCTGGAACACGAGATCAAGGACACACAGCAGTGATTGGAAAAAAAAAAAAACGGCGGGTGGAAAAAAAAAACTGGATGGTCTCCTATCATGGAATGTGACTTCAAGCAGATTTATGGCTTTGGCTGTGTTTATGGCTCTGCACCAGGCGTAATTACAAGTGAGGGTGTGTAAAGATGAAGATGTTGGTTCGGAATTCACTCACAGCACTCGGGCAGAAAAGACAGGCGCCAGAATGATCTAAGCCGCGATCCCTTGAGACGAGGGCCTGCATTTATCTGCGCCAAATGATCTTACGTTCGGCGGTAGGACTCTTTGCCTCTGTCCATGTATCTCCGTACATGCTCCGTAGGCGCTTGATGCTCCTTCGCAGAAACGCGCGCTCATAAAAGCTTTCCGACTCACTCAAGCATTTGTTGTTATCAAATCACGGTCACATCATTCAGTCTGCGGATATTTGGAACCAGTTCAGTGATGTTACTCAAGATGTGGTTTGAGGTCTGCGTGTTGACATGACCGTCTCAACCTCCGACTAACGGCCGTGGATGATGTGTGACGAAGCCACTTGGGACGTATTGTCAGTTGGTTTTGCGACTCGGTGTCTTTTAATGAGGCGCAAACCACAAATTTTGCCTCGCAAACTGCGATGCGAAACCGTTTATTTCGAGTCTTGCAAGGATATATTGCCCACCGCGTTCCTTTTCAGGAACAAATATCACCATAGATTTGGCCTCAAATATGTCGCCTGTTTTTCATAGAACAACAAAGATCACGTCATAAGTATAGTTGAAGACCCGAAGAGCAATCTGGCGCTGTGCGCGTGCGTGTATGCAAAAAGTCTATGGCTCGCGCGGTCCCCGCGGATGTCTGGCCTGAAGGAAAGCCAGATGAGACGGTACAGTCGGCTACCGTACAGTCCCCGGTCTGTTTGATGAGACTTCATGAAAAATGTATGTGAAAGCCAAGGTTACGCTGAGGTCACTTCGGAGACTCAGATGTGGCTGCGCCTACAGCAGAACTCAATGAAAAGAGGAGTGTTGGACTTACGGTAAATTCCCCTCGGACTGAAGCCGTATGGCGCCAGATACAATACAAAGTGTCTGAGCTCGGCTTTCACGTACTTTAAAGGCCTTACCTGCTGTTTTATGAATGCATTAGACACGAATGAAAACATACACATGGAAGATTTTTCCAAAACTCTTCGCTTGCCTGCCCACCTCTGTCCTTAAAATCACTCATACTGAGCGGCTGCAGCTTTAACTGTCGCCACCTTTTTTTAGCACACCAACAAAACGACAGTCGAACCTCGTTACAACGTACCTCGAGGGACATAACGAATCGGTACATTATAACGGTCGTTCGTTGTAACCATTTCCAATAAAATGGCCGCCGACGGTTCGTCGTAACGAAGGCATTTTCACTTTTTTTTGTGGGAAAAATCTGGTCGTTATAATGAAGTTTACGTTAGAAAGGTCTTTGTTGCAAGCGAAATGGGCAAATGGATAATGGATGGCGTGAAATCGGGACTTGTGAATGTTTTTCGTGGTGGAAACGTAAATGGGGTACCTTGAAATGAGGTGGATATTTTTTTTGCTCCTCAATGGCATTTGAACAACTGCAATGTGATGCCTAAGCAAATTAGCATTTGCACATAACAAACTGTCGTCACATTTTAACAGCAAGAGTATTTTCCTCTTCGTCGACCTAAAACTAAGAAGCTAATATTTTGAAGACCATCCTCAAGAAGTGCAGTTGTGTATCTGTTTATGAAGGAAAGATTTTCGTTTTTTTTTGAAGACAGAGAAAGGAATCGATAATTCCAGTGCAGACTGAAGATCTTGAACCAGCTGCAATGTGTGTGATCAGTGTGCAAAATGTTGACAGTACAGACCACAGAGTTGAGGGAATGTGATGCACAATGGAAAGTTTGTTTTCAAAGATTGAATCAAAACAGGCGATACGAATTTCTTGAAAAAGTCAATTCCAACGGTTTTGACTTTGGAACACCCACGGCAATGCAACTCAAAGAAATGTTGAAGACGGACTGTGGGCTGGCATTTCTATAAAGCCAGCTATGCTCAACCTTGGCCTGGACCAGAATTTTTTTTTTCATCCCAGACTGCCAGTTTTCCGATCAAATATAATTATAAATATGCTTAAAAAATATATTTTAAACTAGCTAACCAGAATATGACCGACGTGATTAAAACTGTAAGTATTCCGAACACTAAATTACATTTTACCCCAATGTGTCTGTGACTATACATGTGGGCAGAGCAAGAAATTGATCCTTGTGATAAATACTGAGGTTGCATCTCCAGGGAGCTCAGCATGATTGTGTTTGCGTTTTTTTTTTTTTTTTTTTTTCAGCTGGTCACTCAACGGAACACTCATTGATCTTGAGAATGACTACCGGCGTCGCATGTCTGGAGGCAGCCTGATCATTAGCAACCTGGACAAGGACCGAGACTCCGGCATTTACCAGTGCAAAGCCTTCAACGCCAGGGGGGCCGTCCTGAGCCGCAAGGCGAGCGTCCAATTTGCTTGTGAGTATTCAAAATCTCCTGCGAGACTGTTGACACGCTTTATCCGGATAACTCGCGTCGATCCACCCGACGCGCATGTCATAGGCGTGCGGTTTAGGTCTTCTCGAACGTATTATTCAGATTGCCTCCGAAGAGATTCGAGCGGGCCTGATGGTCATGGAATGAAACGCCAGATGCGGCGAGCACTGTGGGAAAAGCAGCCTCTGAACTTGATTGATTCGTATTAGTGCTACCAGCTCCGACAGTCAAGGCTCAATCTAAACGGACACGTAGTTTGCCAAGTGATCAGGGAGGCTCTGTGATCCAAACCTTAAAGGGGAGCAGACCGAGTCATGTCGAAGTAGACTAGTAAGTCATGCAATTGTTGACTATGTGAATAGCAGTCACATCTTAAAGATGAGATGATTTTGTTGAATTAAAAAAAAAAAACAATTTTTAATGACATTGCCACCCATTCAAGGCGGTCAGAAAGGAAGGCGCCGCAAAGGAACGGCTCTCCTCTTGCTCAAGATCTCGGACTATTGATTATGTCCCAAGGATCCAAGGACGCTTTCACTTCCTCTCACAAGCTGGCCCGCCGTTATCCATACAGTCCTGTAATGAATCTTCCACGCGGGGGCTGGATGAAGAGCAATGCTGCTTGACATTTATCGTCTGCCAAATGTACAGGGAGGGAGGTCTCAGAGATCAGCATGGCTGATGCACTTTTCTCTGTGTAATGAGGACAATGCTCCTAAGAAGAAATGCCGCGCCTCCTTTCAAGCCGGTTCCTTTCCAAGTAGGGAATTTGAAAATCAGCGTCTTTTGGATGTCGATGATAGATTATGATGAACTTTTCCCTTCCAAGCACTTCCCACCTCCTTTGAAATCACATTCAGTCTCGGTTGAAATCGTTCTGTGGACGCACAGTTTGTGTTAAGCGCGTCTCGAGTTTGAAAAACATCAAATGTCTTTGTGACAAAATATTCCAATCTGCAGTTGGAAATAAGTCTACACTAAGAGGATTGTGTCCTTTATGTGTCTGTCATCCAATGTTCTACCTTGTTTGTGCTCAATTTAACTGCAGAGTCGAGTCACCGGCTTGTTTGCATGTACAATTCCGGGAATCTTCCAGGAATGGCTGCAATTAGCCTCAAGCAAACACAGTATTTGATCCGTCCACTTATAGTGAAGACCTATTTTTTTTCTTGCTCCACAGAACTGGAAAAAGTTTTGTCCGTAATCGCTACTTGGAAAAAAAAAACAACAACAAAAAAAAGATATTTACAACATTCGATGCATTCACAAAGCGCAGAGGCCTTCATTCATTTCCATTGATTTAATTGTACTTTGCATTTGGTTATGTTGGAGCCTATTATTACAATTCTTGTATGTATAACATAAAAACGAAAAGACTTTAGGGCAAAGTAGCTCTCATCCTTTGCTCTGCCCCTTATTGTTCAAATGCCCCTTAAAATTTCATGCACTAACTACACCTGATCCTCTTTGTAACGCCCATAAATTCCCGACACGCTTCATGAAGGTATCCAAGCGTAAATCTCAGGCCACAAAATCATCTCGACGCATCAACCTCGCCATGACGTCAAAAGAATTGCCCAAAGACATCTGCAAACGTTTGTGGCCAGGTACAAATGCGTGTATGGGCAAAAAAAAAACCCAAAAAACGCGAAAGCATTGTGGTCCAATATTACAAACTATCTGACAATAACAACAATGGGTCAAAAATGTCGCAAAGGCAATGTGGCATCGAAAATATGTCAACTCTAAAAGCAAGACGTGAGCCGAGTGGCACCCGAGTGCGGCCTTGTGTCATTTTACCCCAATCCTTTCTATTCGGGGCGATGCTCAATTGCCGTCAACCGGGCGTGTAAATCCCCCCATTGGTTGGCATTGTAAGTGAAGACACCGTCACTGAAGCGGCTCGTCGAGTGCACAAGGAAGTCACCTTTGTCTCGGTTTGGAGTCAGCCATCCCCTCCCGTGACCCCGGCGTCCTGCCGGGACTTGGCGCGGGTTGATTCCGTTGCGGTCATCAGAGGGCTGCTCATTAATCTCACCAGTGCTCCGTCCCACTTCTCGCCATAATCTTCTCCCTCCTAATTTCCGTTATCGGTCACGCTGACTTTCTTTTTGTTTACGTTTGGAAGGCTTACGGCAGTCCATTCGCCAGAGGGTGCAGGCAGATTAGAGAACGGACGGCAGCAGATTTACCTCCGTCGCTCATGGAGTCAAATCAGAGGTGCTTTATCATCCCAGGTGTAGGTTTTGTCTGCCCGAAACTGCTCATTAATTTGAAAGGGATAAGTCGCGCCGCCAGTACGGACGGGGGGAAGCTAATGCTTTTAAGTGCGAGATTACACCACATTTAATAATGATGCTTCTTATGGCTGCTGGCAGCGCAAACTCATTTGTCATGCGTGCTCCCCGGTTGTTTGCTCAGTCCGCGCGCCGCCTAATCTTTTCCTTGCGCGAAACAGTCAACGTCATACAGCGATATCTCTCTCTTTCATCAGCACTCCAGATGCTTTCAAAGCATTACGGGCTGTCAGGAGAATGTCCCAAAGCAACCAATGATGTCCTATTAAAGTCCCGCGGCTCAAAGTGTAACATCAAATACGCGCCTGGGTGAATAAGCGAAAGCTGGGGAGGGAAAGCACATGATACCGAACAGTGTATGAATTGTGATTTCATATTTTTAGAGCTGCAATCTCAATATCTCTCTCTCTCTCTCTTTTTCTTTTTTTTTTTAATCTCATTTCCTCAGATCTAGATAACTTCAAAACACAAACGGTGAGAAGTACAGTCAATGTACGAGAAGGTCAAGGAGTGGTTCTCTTATGTGGCCCGCCAGCACATTCTGGAGGTAATTTACTTTTCCGTATTATTTTAGCCTTTTGGAGCATAAATCCACATATCTTTTTTTCCTCCGACCGTGCGATGTGAAATATCTTGCAAAGATTTATTTGCATGGGCTGAGTGACCCCCCCACCTTCCCTCCCCCCCACCCCCACTCCCACATGTTCTCAAAAGTCATACACCCGTACTCACAAACTTACTGACAAAGCAATTCCAGAGCAGATTTTCTTGGCCTGGATTTGTCACGCCATGCTCTTTGGCTGCTGCCAGTAGTTTTCTTGAATAAGTCAGCTCGGAGACTTCACGGAAAAAAAAAACATGTTGTTTCTGGAAGAAAAAGCCAACAAATATTTTTTTTAAATGACACCCCAAATAAAGATAATGCTGTTTTTTTCCCTTTCCCTCTCTCTCTGTCTCCCTCTCTCTGTCTCTCGTCTCTCTGTCTCTCTCTGGGCATCTGAGCGGGATGAACAATGGCTGCTGCTGAAATTGTCTCTCTCATCAAACAGGGGCTTGCACATTGGAACACCAATTTCCCACACAAGAGAAGCGTTTGTAGAACGGTGCATTGTACAGCTGGTCTATGGGATAATGGGCCGGAGTCGCCCGTGTGAAATACAGTTTGACAGCTTTCTTCTCTGACACGGGCTTATGCGCAGTTTGCCTGCTGTAACCAAAGCGCTATTCTGCGCTCTCACATTTTTAGAAATGACTGAAAGACAAGCTGTGGGAGCTTGCTCTTGCTTTCTTTTGTTGTCCGCGACTCGCTCTTTTTCGTTTGCATTTTGAAAGAAGTGACATGGCCGTAAACTTCATTTGACACTTGCAAAGCTCGGTGTACTGTAAACTCTGTCATTTCAAGTGCGCTGTTGAATCAAGACCGATTTGGAAGTCCCAGTCGGGAGTATGAAGTGGAGTAACGACAAGCGGCCCAAATGGCCATACAGCGATCACTTTAAAGCAACACAATCGAAGCGAGTTGCAAATGGATTTCCAGCTCAAAGTGAATGGCCATCACAAATGAATCATCTGACACTTGATTTACTAAAGGTTTGCAACACATGCAGCAATGGGAGCAAACTCTACTGCGCATCCAAACAGACGTGAAAGCCGTTCTTCTCCCATAACCAAGATTGCGCCTGACTACCGAATTGCGGCTCACTTCATTTTGCCAGCTGTGGGACAAGTATATGCAAAGAGATCATTTAGCAGACCTGCTTATTGTCTGCTTGTTGAAGTGACATTTTTTGAATGCCACGCTTCTGGAAGGCAGGTGCAATCCACAAAGTAGCGTGCAAAGCGGTACCCAGCGTAGCATAAGCAAAATGAGACTTGAAACACATTTGAAATGGCAGCGGAAATGAGTGCATAACATATTGTTTGTTCAGCACTGCGGTTTTGGATCTTCCAATTATCGATGGCAAAACTCCTTTCTTGGCATCTGGGGTGAGTTCAGCGCACTGTTCCAATTGTCTGGTGCATGGCATCTCCCATGGCAGATCCGGGCGTGCTGTCCCAACTTTTAAAGCCAACGTTATGCAGGATTGGCACAGAGAGTACATGGAAGTGCCACACACTCGAGACGAGTTAAATCTACTAAAACATAGCTATGTTGCCGGCTTCTCTAAAATTAGGGATGGATAGATCGTGCCAGATTAATTTTCTGTCATTCATTGATGTTTGATTGTCTTGTGCCTCATCAGGTCAAAGTAGATTTTTTTGAGTTGACCACAGAGATACTGTTTGTCAGCAGCCTGGTACAGCAACTCTGTTATTGATCTCATTCATATGCACTTTTCCACCCCATTTGCTATTTTTATTGTGTAGTGCTAAGCTGTTTGCACTGCAGTGTTTTAGCCGTGAACGGTGGCGCACGAAGACTGTTCTTTCGCTGTTGGTTTACGATATTCACTTTCAACTATGATGGGCTACTCTGCTTTAAACATGGAACCACATGCCCTCACTTTGTTGTACCCTGGCATTTCCGAGATTCCGCTGATGCTCGTCCGAGGGACGTCGGCCCCGCTACTCCTGCTCTTGTTTTATCTTAGCTGTTGATAGACTCAGTGTTATTGAATCTATCAGGAAAACACCCTTTCACCAGTTCAAAACCATGTCCAGACTGAAAGGGGTGCATGCTCCAAAAGCAGACCAAGAGAAGCTTATCCGTGCTTTTTTTTTTTCCCCAATAGACGGGATTACTGTGATGGTCTTCTGATTGGACTCCACTCAAAGGAGCATCAAACATCTGCAGCTCATTCAAAATGCTGCAGCTCGGATACTGACCACAAGACAGAGATCAGAATGAATTAATCCAGTCCTAAAGACTTTACACTTACTCTCAGTCAGCTGTAGAATAGATTTTTAAATTCTGCTGCTCGTCTTTCAATCTCTAGCGTGAGTCCTTTTGAATGCATGAAAGAAATGCTAATTGAACATAGACCCAGTCGGGCTCTGAGGTGAGTGGACTAATGTCAAATTAGAGGAGTCCGGTTTTCAATGCGGACTGATGAAGATGTATTTCGCTGAACAAGATGCAAGAAGTGAAGTTAGCCCCAAGTATGACTGCTTTTAAATCCAGGTTAAAACTCCCCCCACACCCCATACCTTTAATTGAGGTATTTTAAGCATTTAAATGAATTTGTATTGCAGAGCTGACTTTTGCATGGATCTTCAATCAATATCCTCACTTCGTTCAACAAGACAGTCGTCGCTTCATCTCACAGGAGACTGGCAGTCTGTACATAGCCAAAGTAGAACCCTCGGATGTGGGCAACTACACTTGCGTGGTTAACAACACTATCACAGAGGAGAAGGTGTTCAGCTCCCCGACACCACTGGTCCTAAGAAGTGATGGTAAATATAATAATTCCGTTTCACGACTTGGTCGTCCGCCAGTTGATCAGGCCTACTACTGTTCATCAGTCACTGATAAACAGAAATCTATCTATCTATCTATCTATCTATCTATCTATCTATCTATCTATCTATCTATCTATCTATCTATCTATCTCTTTAGCTAGCTAGCTAGCTAGCTAGCTACATGGTAGCTAGCTAACTAGCTGACTACGTACACCACACTCACATTTGAAATGAGCTGTTTCCAATATTCTCCCGACAATAAAGATATAAATACTACATAGAACAGGGGTAGGAAACTCCGGTTCCTTGAGAGCCATATCCTGTCTCTTTTAGATCTCTCTCTCTTTCTCTCTTGAGGAACTGTATTTCCCTACCCTTGATATAGAATAGGAACAAAGTCGTGGCACAGTGGTCAACTGTACCCCGGCTTCTGCCCAAAAACGGCTGCGATAGGCTCCAGCACACTTGCGACCCTCGTGAGGATAAAGCAGATGAGAAAATGGATGGATGGATGGATAAACAGTCATAAATCATGTCTTCACAGTGGTTCAATCTTTACTAAGCAGGTATTTTCTGAAGTTTTTCGTAAGTTGCCTTTTTCTTTACCAACCCTGCATTGGTCACTTCTACTCGGCACGCTTGATGATATTATTTGCTGCCCCGCGGTATCACTGCTCTCTCTTTGATCCAGTGTGTATTCCATGGCTGCAGTTCATTACTGATGTCCAAATGTTCTCCCTTTTGTAGGAGTAATGGGAGAATATGAACCCAAAATAGAGGTTCATTTCCCTGACTCGATTCCAGCCGCAAAGGAATCACTTGTGAAACTGGAATGTTTTGCACTGGGAAAGTAAGTCAGCATCATTGTGGCTCTGACATCAACTCATCAATGCACGGATTAGCACCACTCAGGATGATTTAAGGTTGCGTCAGCGTAGCGTTATTCATCTTCCTATTTATCATTCCATTTACGTTCATTTTATAGCTGTTGAAAGTTGCTATGATCGTGTACAAGTAAGCTAAAAAAAAAAGCACACAATGGTTTGAGAAGATATACTGTACAGCAGTTGTCATGAGAGTAATTTTTTTCACTTTTTGCAGTCCTGTGCCAGAAATCAGCTGGAGAAGAACTAGTGGAGTCCCTTTACTGTACAGCAGTTGTCATGAGAGCAATGTTTTTACTTTCTGCAGTCCTGTGCCAGAAATCAGCTGGAGAAGAACAAGTGGAGTCCCTTTCCCAAGTAAAGTCAAAACGAAAAACTCAAACGCCGTTCTGGAAATACCAAATTTCCAGCAGGAAGATGCGGGAACCTACGAGTGTATTGCGGAAAATCGACGGGGCAAAAATGCAGCACGGGGTCGTATCTCATTCCATGGTCAGTAAACACGCTGCTCCTTCGACACTTAATTCGCCAACAGATCATACTGCATGCTGCACAGTTCTACAGTTCTCCAGAAGGATGTGCAAAGTCACCCGTGTTTGCTCACAAGCGTTTAAGTAGGTCCTTCAGTGAAATACATTTTCTTTCTTTGGCTTTTGACTCAGCATGGGTCTTGGTTTTTAGTTGTGCGCTTTGTCATTAATTTATTGTTTGTTGCCGGATGAATGATTTTTGCTCCATGTACAGCACTTTGTATACAGAGGTGGTTGTTTTCAAGTGTTCTAGAAATAGTTGAGCTCAGTTTCTGTCAAACAAAGAGCCTCAAGGATCAGATCAGTCCCATTGTTCCCTTCAAAGAGTCGGCTCATTCGTGACGCTGTGTCGCGCAGTCAATCGGGTGTGCTGAGGGCAAACGTAAAGTGAGAAGGGTGTGTGTGTGTGTGTGTGTGTGTGTGTGTGTGTGTGTGTGTGTGTGTGTGTGTGTGTGTGTGTAAAATTGACACAGCAATTGAGAGCATTTTACTCGGATGACTGGAAGCCCAATAAAAATCAATACTCTGTTGAGAAACAGTACTTTACATGTTTACCTAGTTTTGGAGCTGCATTTTGCCTCAGCAAAATTACAATGTTCACCTTTGAATATACCATTATTGGTGAAAAAAAAATTAAAAATGTAACTTTCAATTTTGTGTACAGACTTTTCCGCCGTTGGCAAAACAGCAACAGCTTACAATGCTTTTACAGCTTGTTGTTTTTTGTTCACACACTAATCCTTGATACTGTAAACACATGTTTGAAAAGGTAATCCTCTCATTTATTCCAAGCTAAACCTCACTGGTTCCAGACAATGGCAGACACAGTTCTGTCCATCCACCAAAAGCTGTTCTGGGAGTGCAAGGCTACTGGAAAGCCTAAACCATCGTACAGCTGGCTGAAGAATGGCGAGCACGTGATCGCACAGGTAATGCAAACAAACCAGAGTGTCATACTTCTGCATCAGTGTACTGGACACGCATGGCCACACAAATAAACACACACCATCATTTTTTGGTGTTTTTCTGGATGGACAGACCAATGTTTTCATGAGGTTGTTGTCGGGTGGTAACCTCCTTCCCAATGTCCATATTTGTATTGTAGTAAACTTGTACTGGAGTTCACTTTTTTGTTTTCTTTTTTTTTTTTGCCAAATGGATTCTATTGGAGGCGGCACAGTGGACGACTGGTTAGCACTCCGCCTCACAATGCAGAGGTGCAGGGTTCGATTCGGGGCTCTGTTCTTCCTGTGTGGCGTTCGCATGTTCTCCCCGGGCCTGCGTGGCTTTTCTCCGGGTACTCCGGTTTCCTCCCACATTCCAAAAACAGGCTTTGCAGGTCATTGGAACACTCTCTAAATTGTCCCTAGGTGTGAGTGTGAGCTCGAATGGTCGTTTGTCTATGCTTGCCCTGTGATTGGCTGGCAATTGGTTCAGGGTGTACCCCGCCTACTGCCCGAAGACCGCCGCAATAGGCTCCACTCTCATGAGGAGAAGCGGATTCAAAAATGGATGGATGTACCGATGGCTTCTATTGGTTCGTCTACACGTGCATTTTTACAAATTACTGACCAATTTAAAGTGTCGAAAGAGGCTCGCAGTCTTTGCTGATGCAACATTCACGCCTGAATAAACATGCCTTTCTTTGGTTTCCTGAAAAGTCCGTTTTTTTGTTGCAGCGACGGACAGAGAAATAATTTTGTACAACACAATGAAGTGGCAAACGTGATGTGGCCATACGGGGCCAAAGAATGGCCATCCTTTTTCGATTGTACCGCGAAAGATGTCACATGTCACTGCTGAGTGAAGGCTAAACGTGTCACAATTAGTCTGTGGCATCAAGCACTTGAAGCTCAACCTACACCAGCCGCAAATGACTTGCAAAATGCAGCTGTCTTAATGTATGATGAGAACGCAGGGGAGCAATTTTTGTCCTCATGCCTTCCAATATGAACATATGTGGAATGCCAGAGGGTTCCTTAGGCCTTTGTTTCTCCTTTCCCACTGACTCCCTCCCCTTATGGTGCACAAGTAATTGCTTTTGTGCCTTCGGACATCAAAGACTGGCATTGCAACGGATATGCTCAACTCTTTGTTTTTCCTCCGCAGGGCCGGATACAAATCGAAAATGGGGCTCTGTCCATACCTACTTTAAACTTGTCAGATTCTGGAATGTATCAGTGTGTAGCTGAAAACAAACATGGCGTTATTTATTCCTCTGCCCAGCTAATGGTGTTAGGTAAGCTTGGCTCCTACCGTGTGCTTTTATACTGCTTATCTGTCTGTGTGTTTGATCATCGTCTCAGATAAAAGCCAGCAGGAAGTCGCATCTCTCCCCTGCAATTAGTTCTCCGACTCATTTTATGGACAGTGCCAGCTAAGCACGAATCCATAAGAGTGTCTCATTTTCATCATATTGATTTGGAGACTACAAGAAACACATGTACAGCGATGACGTAATGATTTATTTACAAGCTTGGATGACTTTCATCGGACTGAGCATGATTTCTATTTGGGCTTGTTTTCTCTCTCTCTCTCTCTCTCTCTCTCTCTCTCTTTATTTATTTATTCATTTACCAGTATTTATTTCTGTATGTGTTTATGTGCCCAGGATCTTTGTTATCTTTTGACTCAGTACAAAGCCCACAATCATGGCTGAGTGACCAATCATCCTTTTTGTTGTTTTGTTTTGTCTTTTGTTGATAGCACCCTCACTTTTCCTTTTTCTTCCCTCCCACACAGCATCACCTCCCAGTTTCTCTAAAAGTCCATTAAAGGCCCTGGTAAAAGCTCGCCTAGGTAGCGAAGTCATTCTTGAATGCAAGCCCCAAGCCTCGCCCCCAGCGATTAGCCTGTGGAAAAAGGACAACGAGATGCTGCAGAGAAATGAAAGGTAGGGTCTCAGACTGCGCGTTTCTTTTACGCATTTCATTCACAATCATTATGAGTAGACATGTTTGAATCGTATATATTGGGCATTTGTGTAGCGGCATAAGGAAGGTGCTAATGAGGAAGAATGGAAAGTTAATGAGGACTGAGATAGGGAGAGCGGGGCATCACTCTGGGAAAATTGCTCATCGCTAATACTTTACGACAGCATGTGACACCCATTTGAAAAGTGCTTGGTATGTGTGATGAGGATGGGCAGCCAGTCACATCTACTGAAATAGTCAACAAGATAAGCTAATTGAATTGGTGCTAAAGATACATGCCGTCCGCTTGTAGATTAGAGTATTAAAAAAGTGAGACTGAAGCTACGGCGCCTGTAATTAGACGCGCGAATGTGCTCTGCTTTATCGTGACATGTAAATAGAGTTTGAGGTATATCATCTCAGGCCTTCTTGTGGATCATAATAACAGCACCTTGACAGACTCTAAATTCCATGCAGAAATGCAACACTATTAAATTGGGGCCTGATTTGTTTTGTTGTTTGTCTGTCTGGGTGTTTATCGAAATAGAATGAGCGTAAATTGATCAAATAAAAGACAGTTACACGGGCGTGAAGAGTCACTCCAAGCAGACAAATACAAGTACGCTGGGACATGAAAAGACTTGTGAAAAAAATGGAATATGCAAATTTGTATTTCGATTAGAAAGGAAATACTTGGAGACAGAGAATTCAAACACACACAAGGGAAAGGGTTAGGATGCTCTTTTGTAGGCTCCGTTGGATGTCACTGTTGAAAATCGGTACAATCCTGAACATGACTGACATTTAGTACACTATATGCAGTCTTTCAAGGAACACGTGCAAGCACAGGATGGGAAATATTTTCCGAAAGGAAAGGTCCTTGCACTGCATGGGCAAAAATAGCATTTGGACCACAAGCAGCGCGTCTGGATAAGATAAACAACAATGTTGCCTCACGAGATGCTTCAGGAGTGCCTTTTAAGACATCTGTCTGAAACAACCAAACACCAAAACAGTGTTAAAAAATGACACAAAGTAATCCAATACACTTTCATTGTCGCTAGAAGCACACACAACTGACTAATACCAAAAGGTAAATTGGTGCACAGTAATCAACATGGAGGAAAATAATAGCTCAAAAGCCTGGTGTGTTACACGGGATGGTAGTGATGGCAAAATGAGGCTTCAAATTTGCTTCATGAACCAGTTGTATTTATTTATTTTTTAAAATTCCTGAGGATGAAAGCACACTGACCTGCCATTTTCGCAATCCCTTTATTTAAACCAACAGTCCCATCGACAGGAATAAAAAAATTACATTAATAGGTCCATGAAGCAAATTTGAAGCTTCTTTTTCCCATCAGTACTGGATGGAGCTCCGACAGTATCATATAATAAAGAGCTGCATCTGCCGACAATTGTTTGAATTGATCTTAATTCTTCATACAAATGAAATATAGATGAAGCTCATGAATGGTGATGTATTTCAAAGCAGAACACCCAAAGTGGAATCACCTGCATTTAGTTCTTAGTGTGTCAGTTTACTGTCTGACTGTTCTTTGCTCCATAGAATGACACTCTTTTCCAGCGGAACATTAAAGATTACCAACGTGAGCAGAAGTGATGCAGCCAGCTATACGTGCATTGCTAAGAACCAGTTTGGGTCAGCAAGCACCACTGGAAGGCTGCTTGTTACCGGTGAGTCTTCTTGAAAGAACGCATCGCCCCACACTGACCCGTGGCTATATGTATGATGGTGGCACTGGATGATTCATCCCATGCCTATTTAGCATTTGACAGCTGGCCTCTGAGTCCCATTCCTCATCTAAATTTGGCATAGAATCTTTTGAGACTGTTTTTGCTCCAGATTGACAGAGCTATACAATGTCATAAAATGTAATTGCATTGCAAAGATGTTGTGAAACTGTCCCACAGACTCTTATTGTTTGTCGATGTACCCAGCAATTGGTATGACTTCTTCCAAACTACAAAGTGAGATTCCTGTTTGAAGGCCTCACGGTAGTCTTACGGGGTGCCCATGGCACGGATAACACATTTTCACCGTCATCTGTTTCCCCTGCTCAGAGCCAACCAGAATCACTATGAGGCCCACGAACCTTGAGATTATTGTTGGCGAGAGCATCGTGCTGCCATGCCAGATTGCCAGCGATCCAGCTCTGGATGTCTCTTTCTCATGGGCATTTAATGGCCAGCTCATCGACTTCCAGCAAGACAGCGATCATTTTGAGAGAGTGGGCGGGGTGAGTCAGCCCAAGCATTAAACTCAGATACTGTCAGGCTACTCCGGGGTTAATTGGGACATTGAGCGGCGTGCGCAAGGGGTATGCTCAGCAGCCCCGTCGAGGCCTACTAAAACGTGAATAATACCCAAGCTACAACACTTATCAAAATAAGTTTCCATGTGTAGTTTCCATCTTCTGTAAAAGCCTCCATAAATAGAAATAGAACAATAAGGTGTCTAAGAATTCATTGTTACGTGTTTGTTCCATTTTAGGCAGGGCATAGCCAAAATACTTTTCACACCTTGTTTTGTAGAATTGTCAAGATTATGTCCTTGTGAATTCCAATCAAAGTTATTGACATGGAATTTGGCATGGTGCTGTAATGAGCTATATGTCATAGTTTCACGTTGCTCCTGTCCAGCGCAATTGCCAGGCCGTTGATCAACAGATTCTGGTGAATTCATTTACATCATTAAAGCAAATCTGTCTCACTTGCTTCCTGCCAAGGCCGAGATGCCTTGCTTGCACCCACAAGCTTTTAGGTGGGCCAGGTGGCAACTGACATCAGAGATGGGATCAGCTTAAAAAGATGAGATGAAAAAGAAGGAGCAAATAGACGAGTAGATTCAGCCCACCGCTGTTCTCCTCGCCGAAATGAGGTGGCGATCGATGGCTTATTTTGCCAGTTCTTCAAAAGTGAATTTATCGCAGATAGATCCCCATTTAAGGTGATGACAGCTGACACGTTCCCATACTGGGTTCAGCCCCAGGTGACTCCTTTTTTCCAGACTGATAATGCTTCTGAAAGATGGTGCATTAAAATGAGGGCAGGATATGTGTAAACACTTAGAAAGCAATCCAATTAAGTCATCAAACGCATGGCTGACAGTCACCATAACATGAATTTTGGGAAGTATTGTCAAAATCATTGCCACAAGATACTTTTTGGAATGGTATGATTTTATCTGACTTCTCTCACCAGTAGGATGCATCCGATAAGAAAACAGTACACTGAACAAAACATTCCATTTACTCAACTGAATTTTGTGGTTGCACAAAATAATAACTCAGTTACATGTTTAATGTAGATCGATAGGAGATAGATAGATAGATAGATAGATAGATAGATTGCAGGACAAATGCACTCCAGTACGTGCTGAGTACAAATATTTCCATTGATTAAATAAACACGCTTGCTTGTATATTTACGGAATCAAGGTTTCAGAATCTTCTTTGTAGCCATAAAAAGCACGCGGCTCATGTAGAATTATGCTTGCATCCTGCACTGTACTCTTATCTTGCTTCTGCTTATGCAATTACAAGCTAATTAGGGCTAGCTTAGCAATTAACTCGACTGTGTTTGTTTTGTGCTTCCTATGAGGAGCTTGTCGCCGTTTGTGGAGATGAGAAGCTGCGTGGTGGGATGAAGCCTGAAGGCTAGCCAATAGCTTTATGTGTGCTGGCTACATCTGCCGTGTCTGCTGTTGTTGTTTGAAAAGATGAAACCGTTGGTGGTCTCCTGAGACTCCGACTGTGCAAAGTGTCATAAATGTTGAAGCATTCCCTCTCCCCAAACTGAATGATGAAATCAACCCTAATCTCTTTCTGAACACTTGTTCGATATTCATCCTCCTTTCTAGACCGTGTCGGGGGATCTGATGATTCGAAACATTCAACTGAACCATGGTGGGAAGTACGTCTGCGTTATTGACACGGAGGTTGAGAATCTGTCCACCTCTGCCATTCTGATTGTGAAAGGTAACCACCAGTGACTGTTTTTTTCTTTGTTTGATTTTATTGGATATCAGGATGTTTAGCGGGAAATTGTATGCAGTGAAGAAGTATGCTCGTTTCTTTTTACCTTCTGTATGTGCTGCTGAAATAGAAAAAAAAAACATGCACGCCAGCACGTGTGACTGGAGGCCCAGCTCAGATTGCCTCATTGGTATGTGCTCTACGTGCAGGGTTATCTCTTGGGATTTACATTGGTATTCATGCCCTTAACAAACCTTAATAGCGGTCCCAGGTGCTTTCAGGAGGTAATGTTTATCATAAAAAAATGAGCCTAATTGGTTCATTTACACATCCGCGCGGTATGACGGAAAACATTTGAATAATGGAGCGGCACATCAAACAAGAGCACTGTGACTCCACAGAACATGACGAGCACTCTCTCACTCTGCTCCTTATTTTGGTCTTCACCGTTTTCCTCTTAGCTCGTCCGCTTTCGAAGAAATGATCCCAAATCAATCTCTCTTTCGGTTCCCGGTGACTCCTTTTAGTGCCCGCACATCATAGATAACAAGTCCCTTCATGCGCACATCAAGCACAGAGCTCTTAATTAAATATAGCATGGTGGCCTTGATGAGTTTGATGGCAGGGCTTCTCGGAATGAGAGGGGAGCTCACCCTGCTCCTTGTCTGGTTGATTAAAAATATTGCAGGACAAATGCACTCCAGTACGTGCTGAGTACAAATATTTCCATTGATTAAATAAACACGCTTGCTTGTATATTTACGGAATCAAGGTTTCAGAATCTTCTTTGTAGCCATAAAAAGCACGCGGCTCATGTAGAATTATGCTTGCATCCTGCACTGTACTCTTATCTTGCTTCTGCTTATGCAATTACAAGCTAATTAGGGCTAGCTTAGCAATTAACTCGACTGTGTTTGTTTTGTGCTTCCTATGAGGAGCTTGTCGCCGTTTGTGGAGATGAGAAGCTGCGTGGTGGGATGAAGCCTGAAGGCTAGCCAATAGCTTTATGTGTGCTGGCTACATCTGCCGTGTCTGCTGTTGTTGTTTGAAAAGATGAAACCGTTGGTGGTCTCCTGAGACTCCGACTGTGCAAAGTGTCATAAATGTTGAAGCATTCCCTCTCCCCAAACTGAATGATGAAATCAACCCTAATCTCTTTCTGAACACTTGTTCGATATTCATCCTCCTTTCTAGACCGTGTCGGGGGATCTGATGATTCGAAACATTCAACTGAACCATGGTGGGAAGTACGTCTGCGTTATTGACACGGAGGTTGAGAATCTGTCCACCTCTGCCATTCTGATTGTGAAAGGTAACCACCAGTGACTGTTTTTTTCTTTGTTTGATTTTATTGGATATCAGGATGTTTAGCGGGAAATTGTATGCAGTGAAGAAGTATGCTCGTTTCTTTTTACCTTCTGTATGTGCTGCTGAAATAGAAAAAAAAAACATGCACGCCAGCACGTGTGACTGGAGGCCCAGCTCAGATTGCCTCATTGGTATGTGCTCTACGTGCAGGGTTATCTCTTGGGATTTACATTGGTATTCATGCCCTTAACAAACCTTAATAGCGGTCCCAGGTGCTTTCAGGAGGTAATGTTTATCATAAAAAAATGAGCCTAATTGGTTCATTTAGAGAAGCTGCGTGGTGGGATGAAGCCTGAAGGCTAGCCAATAGCTTTATGTGTGCTGGCTACATCTGCCGTGTCTGCTGTTGTTGTTTGAAAAGATGAAACCGTTGGTGGTCTCCTGAGACTCCGACTGTGCAAAGTGTCATAAATGTTGAAGCATTCCCTCTCCCCAAACTGAATGATGAAATCAACCCTAATCTCTTTCTGAACACTTGTTCGATATTCATCCTCCTTTCTAGACCGTGTCGGGGGATCTGATGATTCGAAACATTCAACTGAACCATGGTGGGAAGTACGTCTGCGTTATTGACACGGAGGTTGAGAATCTGTCCACCTCTGCCATTCTGATTGTGAAAGGTAACCACCAGTGACTGTTTTTTTCTTTGTTTGATTTTATTGGATATCAGGATGTTTAGCGGGAAATTGTATGCAGTGAAGAAGTATGCTCGTTTCTTTTTACCTTCTGTATGTGCTGCTGAAATAGAAAAAAAAAACATGCACGCCAGCACGTGTGACTGGAGGCCCAGCTCAGATTGCCTCATTGGTATGTGCTCTACGTGCAGGGTTATCTCTTGGGATTTACATTGGTATTCATGCCCTTAACAAACCTTAATAGCGGTCCCAGGTGCTTTCAGGAGGTAATGTTTATCATAAAAAAATGAGCCTAATTGGTTCATTTACACATCCGCGCGGTATGACGGAAAACATTTGAATAATGGAGCGGCACATCAAACAAGAGCACTGTGACTCCACAGAACATGACGAGCACTCTCTCACTCTGCTCCTTATTTTGGTCTTCACCGTTTTCCTCTTAGCTCGTCCGCTTTCGAAGAAATGATCCCAAATCAATCTCTCTTTCGGTTCCCGGTGACTCCTTTTAGTGCCCGCACATCATAGATAACAAGTCCCTTCATGCGCACATCAAGCACAGAGCTCTTAATTAAATATAGCATGGTGGCCTTGATGAGTTTGATGGCAGGGCTTCTCGGAATGAGAGGGGAGCTCACCCTGCTCCTTGTCTGGTTGATTTAGGTCCACCGGGCCCTCCAGACAAAGTGACGGTGGAGGAAATCACAGACAGCACGGCGCAGCTTTCCTGGACTCCTGGAAGGGACAATGGAAGCCCCATCACCGGTTACGTCATCCAGGGTCGCACGCCTTTCACTGTGGGCTGGCAGGCGGTGGAGACGGGTATCATCAAACATCACCTACTCACATGCTGTACTGATGAAGAACCTTTTTGACTCATTGATACCCTTTTTTCCACCCCAAGAAAACGTGGCGCTCGTTCGGAGCCAGGGCCACAGCTGTGCTTATTTAGTTAGTTCTTTTGAAAAACGGGTTTGGTTTTCCACCATCAAAGAGCCAAGTAGGAGCGACGTCACGACGTCATCGTAAAGCGCCCAAACGTCACTGCTTGCGTCGACGTTTACCACAGAGGGCCTGCCGGCGTTATTAATAATAAGAAGAATGCGCTGTTAGCATATGCTAGGCAACGTAGCATAGCATCGATTCTATTTGTATGTCGTACATAACAGTCAGGGACATGCAATCAGCAAATGCTGATAACTTTTTTAATGATTGTAGATGATCACGGGGCTGGCTGCGAGTCGGAGATCGCATGCCATCCGGGCACATCCGCGATCGCTCTTCTGATGGGACAACAATTGTGCCGGAGTTCACCACTCAACAGTTTGTGCAAAACTTCCGTGTGCCCAGGGAGTCATTCCTCTACAGCTGCGATCGTCATAATAACCCCGCCCCTTAACGTAGTAGGTGCCAGGGTCTGGCCCAACGAATATAATTGTGGATAAATCTCTTTGTGCAAAAAGAAATTCTTATTTAGTGTGGGAAGGGCGATTCATGCCGTGGCCCACTTTGTGAAAAAAAAAAAAGTTTGACGCTATTTATTCCCCTCGCGAGTACTGCATGGCTCTCGATCTCTGCATTTTTTCAGCAATTATCCAGAAAACATGTATGATGTATTTAGAAACGAAATCCCTGAATTGACTTTCCATGGTCTTCAACTTTTAATTCCTGTGTGTAATTTGTGAATTGCAGTGCCTGAAATGGTGAATGGTAACACACTGACTGCGACAGTGGTGGGGCTAAACGCTTGGGTGGAGTATGAGTTCCGAGTTGTGGCACGCAATAATGTGGGCCTTGGAGAGCCCAGTCCAGCCTCAGCCAAAACTCGGACAGAGGACACTAGTAAGTCAAAACACAACCGTTTGAACGCTGCCCTCCTTTGCTGGGGCAAAGTTATCACTCATTTGCGTATTATTGTTCCAAAAAGTATTGTTTGAATAAGTATAAAAATACGTTTGAAAGATGGGCAGCGAGGGGGCTTGGAATAACGTTCAGAGGTCATTCCAAAGTGAGGCAGCGGCAACGGAAAAGGCTCAAGCTCCTCTGAGCCTCCGCTTAGTTCTCGGTACCTCTAATAGTGTTTGGTCCGCAGACCTGAGGTACCGGGCCGGTGCGTAGGAGCCGAGGAGCTCAGAGAGGTAAGGTGGGGAGAGGCCATTTCAAGATTTGAAAACAAATAATAGGATCTTCAAAAGAACTCTAAAATGTATCAGTGAAGGGATTTCGATGTAGGAGTGGTGTGCTCCCTCTTACGATTACCAATCAGGAGGTGAGCAGCAGCATTCTGGACCAACTGGAGACGCTTCATGGAGGATTGGCTGCCTCCCAAGTAAAGTGCATTACAGTCATCCGGCCCAGATGTGACGAAGGCACCATTGACTGTTTCAAAGCGCTCTTGAGAAAGTAACACTTTTATATAGTGGAAGTTTCAGTATCATAGAGTTTTTTTGAATGTTTTGGTTTTTTTTTTTTTTTTTTACGTCAACCCTGCGTTGAGTACGGGGGGCGTCTTTTG